AACATGACCCAGGAGGGGGGGGCGAGCACCTATTTAAGGAGCGCTCCTCCTCTAGATTGGCCTCTTTTGAGGCTTGCAACCTACCTACCCACCCTACATCCAGTGTGAATTTTACTGGTCACCTTCTGGGGCTGGATACAAATTTTTGACCTGCTGCTCGACTGGCTGGAAGTTGTGGGGATTTTTGTGTATGTCACACTGGTCATAATGTGAGGCTGTTAAATGGTGGTGGTTTAGTTGGTCATGTGGACAAGTTGTGCAGAATCGAGTCGGATCGGTGAGTCCAGGTGAGAGCACAAGTAAAGTTATAGCTCATCCAACCTCCCAGTGCTGCAGATCATGAGATTACAGCTTGTGTGGGGAGGATGTGCTGGTGCCACGCCTGGACTGAGGGCCACCAGTAGAATTGGGGGCTTGAGGCCCAGGGGCTGGTCAAAGCAAAGCCGGCTGGGAGTGTGCTGTCTATGGGACCGCACAACCTTGGGGCATAGGACTTGCCTGTTTGTATGAGAAAGGGGTCCAGTGAGATCCAGTTATAATCATTCCACACTACAGCAGGCCCCTCTCTGTTGTTATACAAGCTGTATGCTCGCTGCTTTACATTGTAGCCAAGTGTTATTTCTTCAGTGTTGTCACATGAAAAGATATACTAAAATATTTATGAAATGTGAGGGGGTGTACTCACTTCTGTGATATACTGTATTTTCCTTAACTTTACCAAAGGACAGATGAGGAAAGATATTATTCTGAGATGTTAATTTTATACAGTATTGTAATCGTAAAGTGATAATTGTCAGTGACCTGTGTGGTGGACAATACATTGTTCAGGAGTGAACCAGCTCTTTAACATGTTTAAAACACCTTTATTTTGACCACAGCAAAAATATTTTAGGAAAACATGTAGTTAGTGTTTAGGGGTTTTTTTCCTAATAACTTTCCAGGGTGCAGAATGAATAAAAAAGAGTCATGGTTGTTGTGGGTTTTTCGGGCTCTTTGGCCATATTCTGAAGGTTGTTCTTCCTAATGTTTTGCCAGTCTCTGTG